ACATTTAGTTTGAAACTGAATGGAATATTTCAATAAGGATTTGGACTCATGTTGAAAGATAACAAAGATAATTCCTGGCCCTGGTATGTCATATTTCTGCTCATATCTCCCAATATTTTGTTGGCACTATCAGTATCCTACAGACTCAGATTTGCCTGGTTGCTCTGGTCTTTTTTTGTGATTGCTTGTTTCTTTTCTTAGGGTCTGTCCACCTTGTACTTATCTCTCCCATTCTGCTCACCTTTGCATCCCCAGGGCTTGACACTGTTCGAGGCACACAGTAGGTACTTAATAAATTTGGGGGAATTGGATTGATGTGGCAAAGGAGTGGTATGGACCTTAGGAACTCAGAGAAGGGGATTAGAAGAGTCAAAGAGAGCGTCTCAAGGAAGTGATGTTTGGAATGCTCCTTTAAGGAAGGAAGATGTTTGGATGGGCGAAGAGAATGGGGAAAGGTGGTATAGGAAGTTATAGTGGAGTCAAGTTTTCAGGCAGAGAGTAAAGTGCCAAAAGCAGGAGGGAGAGAGACATTGGGCAATAGGGAAAGAGCCCTCAGTTTAGACCAGAGTTAGCTCTGAATGTCCACTTCTCTTTTCATCTGAAGAATTCTGGTGATTTCCATCTCAGAGAACCAGAAAGAGTGTGACAGAGTTCAGAGAGGAAGAGGTGACCACCCTCACATTGATGGCCTTTTCCACAGCTTTAGCAGACTGTGGCACCACTCAGGCGCACATGCTTTTAAAACCCAGGTCCCGCCACCCCATGCTGGGTGCACTCAACATAGATGAGTTTAAATAAAGTTGAGACAGAAGCCAGAGAGGTTCCACTGGGAGGCTGAAGGTCATTGCAACTACACTCCATGCCAGAAATTATGCTGAGATTGTCAGGTGGGTGCCCTGGGGAACTGACCTGAAACAAAGGTCAGAAAGCTTCTTAGGATTCCTCACTGCTGAGAATGCAGCCAGTTGTGTTAGAAAAACCCAAATCACAACTTCCTGAAAGTTTTTGTCAATGCAGTAATGGGTTTGTTTCCTTGGCAACAGAGTCCACTGTGGGAAAAAGATTTTCCCAGCAATTAGGTTGTCCCAGCAGCACCTTGGACCCTGAGTACTCATTATGAAAATAGTCTTTGGTAGGCCTGGGGTCCAGCGCAGCCCTGCCCTGAGGTACAGTTTCAGCTCAGCCTGGCTTTTCTCAGCATGAAGAGAGTGAGACAGCTCTAAGGCTGAGAAAGGAAACAACGAACCATCGAATCATCGTTGCTACAGAGATCACCTTGTTCAGGGGCAAAGCCAAGTGGGAAGCCTCCCCTATGGAGTTTCATCAGGTTCTACACTCCACTGGCCTGCCCGGAGGGCCCTCTCCACACTCCAGGTCTGTGACTGTCTTTTAATTTCACCTACGGTGTCTTGTACTGGCTAGCTTTCATTTTTATGAAGTTGAATCTGTATTTTTTTTGCAGCTTCCAGGTTTTGTGTCTTGCTCTCTCATTCTAGGGTTATAAACAATAGTGTCTCAGAAATTTATGATTTTAATCCCCCCTCAAATTTAAAAAGAATTCCTTTTGTTTTTATTAAAGCAAAACGATAGACAGATGAAAGCATCAAGTTGGGCAGAAGAACTTAGACTGAGAAGCAGTGATCCCCTGCTCTATTCCTCACCAACCTTGGGCCCGCTTTTCACTGGTATACTCTTTTCTCTGTTTTTTTCCTTCTGGCAATACAAGTCATTGGGCTTCCTCTGCCCTGCCTCATCCATCCTCTCAACCGTCTCTCCCGTTTCTAAAAATTTACTCTAGGAATTTTCGGTGCACTCATCACGCTCCTATTCTCATTGCAGTTGTGGACCTATCTTTAAATCAATCTTTTTTGTATTATTTCATTAAGGTCTCGGGAGGAAGAGGGATGAACACAATCTTAGAAGAGAAGCTTTCTGTATTTTACGGGCAGGAGGAGGGGGAGGGGGAAGTGCAGTAAATTATCTGACTCATGTCCCTTTTGGTCTAGTCTCTTGATGAGTTCACATCAAGGTACTGACTGCAAAGGCTGTTCATGCGTGCTTCTCCAAGGCGGTTAAGTTTTTAAGTGGGACTCTTAAAATTTGAGGGTATCTAATGATCTTCAAATTTTTTGCTCATTTTAAAGTTGGTATCTATAGTTTTGTGTTACTTTAAGCACAGTTAGCCCTCTGCATCTGCAACCCTACCACAGCATTTTATATAAGGGCTTCTGGTATCTGTAGGGGATCTTGGAACCCATCCCACCTGAGGATACCAAGCAGTGACTATATCTGCAAAGGAAATAATTTCCAACACATTGTAATACTGTTGTTTAAAAAATAAAACCTTTACTTCATTCTCAAATGTACTGAGTAGAATCTAGATTGGGAAAATCAGTGAAAGAAATTTCTTCTAAGATCTGAATTAATGTTCAAGAAAATATAAAACAAGAACATACCTCTGAGATATATATACATGTATATATATATGTATATGTATATTATATATATATTCCTTTTGCTTGCAAACATAATGTTCATCTATTAGGGGTAAGTGGAAGTTGTCACATCCTCCTTCATAATTTTTCAAAGTATTCAGCTGAGACCCAGGCACATAGGTAAATGAATTTTTTCTCCAATAGAGAAGATGAAAATGCAGTGGACTCCTGTCATAGAAAGTCTTTCCTGGAAAGCTTTACAGAGCCTGAGTATTCTAAGAAGTCTAAGATGGACAGAGCAGTCATCCACTGAGCCCTGCCACAAACTTGTCACTGGATGAAGTAAAGTCCACTGTTTTTGTATCTCTCACCCACACTCTCTTCACTCCTCATGGCTGCCTTGGGGGAAATGGTGTCTCGGACAATAGACAGGAAGTAGAAGAAGTGGAGTTCATTAAATAAAGCTGCCATCCCTCCTTCCACCTCACTCTACAATACATTTATTTCTAATGCCACGTTTCTACCTTTACAAAAGTATGAACAAGACAGGAGGGACATAGGACCCTCTTTGGGGCTTATAATGATTTGAGGAGGCAACACTGATTAAAGCATCAGTATTTCAAATTGTATCTTTATTTAGCTCCTGAAGCTTTTTACTTTTTAGGACCTTGTACCATAGTAACATTCAAGTTGGGTAAGAGATAAGCCTTTCTTTTCAAATAGGGAGAAAGACATGGTCTTTCTCACTGCAGGTAAGTTTTAGGAAAGTGTCCATAAAGAAACTGAAAAACCTGGAAATGGATTCTCTTAAAACCATCAGTTCCCATATACTCTTTGAAAACCTGCAGGTGCTCTTGGGGTACAAGGATTTCAGTGTAAAGACCTTACCTTAGGCCACATCAATGTGTCTTTTGGCAGGAAGTACAGGCACTGTGGGACCCTCCTTGGAGTGTTACTTTAGAGGTGGAGCTATTAGATCCCATCATATAAGCTGCCGCTTACTTTGTGCATAGATTTGTCTCAAATGCAGCCAGTGATTTTCTGAGGCTGGGCCATTAGCTGAGCCTCGGAACAAATTCCGTCTAGTGAAGGCCTGTGTTTGCCCCATCACAAGACTGGTCAAAGCCTAAGCTCTGACTTCTCTTTCTTACTCTTTCTTTCTCTTTCTTTCCCTTCCTTCAGGATGATTTTCATGCCTCCTCACCCTATGAACACCCTGAGGCTGCAACTGTCATCCTTCTCTATCAGCTTTTTATTTAAAGGGATCTCAGTGCCTTAATACTGAAAAATTTC